CTTATTAATCCGAAGTTCAAATTCGTCAATTCGCTTTAAGACCGCTTCTACATGCTTGATGTGATCTGTTTCTGTTTGACTGTACACGACTACATCGTCGCCATATACCTCGACATTATCTAGATTCTTGAGCAGTAGTGTCATTAATCTTCTGAACGTGAACGGTGCACCCGCCAAACCGAACGGCATTCGTTTAAATTGATACTGTTTATCACGTACAGTAAACGCTGTCTTGCTCCAATCACTCTCTTTTATAGGCAGTTGCCAATAGCCTGACCGTAAATCCAGCACTGTAAACACCGTGGCATTCTGTAGCCGATCTAATGTTTCCACCACTGTTGGCATTGCACAAGGCTTCAGGTCTGTTATATTATTCAATTCTCTGAAGTCGACACAAAATCTATACTTTCCATTTGGTTTCTTTACCAAGAGTACTGGCGAGCTATATGAGCTGTCCGCTTCCTCAATTATACCTTCTTTTAACATTTCCTGGACCTGACGATTTACCTCAGCCTCTAAATGCACCGGGACACGACGTGTTGCAAATATATTTACTCGACTGTTCTTTATCGGTATTTCGTGCTTTACTCTGTCACAAAATCCATACGGCTCCCCATCTCCAGTGAATAGTTTCGCATACTTTTTGCATAACTCGTGAATGTTTGGTTTCTTCGACGAGACATCCGCCGCAACTCTTATTTCAGCCACTTCGCTACTTTCGTGTATCGTCAATGAACCATATTTCGTGACCACCTTACCGCTTCTTAAGTCAACTATCGCTTTTACTTCTCTTAGGAAATCTGCTCCTAATATCGGTCTCGATAGACTTGTGGTGACCACGAACAGAAAATTTATCTCAGCACCCCCCACTTTTAGGATATTGTTAGATATGCCAAACACCTCTAACATATGGCCTCCTATCGTGTGGACAGCTAATGTACACGGCTTGATTCTCTTACATTGCTCTTTGCCTATTAACGATACTGCTGCACCTGTATCGATCAGACAAACTAAACTTCGCTCATTTATGTTCACTCTCGTATATACTGCCCCTCTGTCTACTAACGCAACAATCCCCCCTAGGATAGAAAGAACACTCGTTGTAACGTCTAACATATCTGCGTCTTCGTCTTGTTGGACAGTTTATCTCCCAATGTCTTGTCCCTCCACAAGCGTAACATTTATCGTTCCTTTTATTGTTCACTCGTATTGCCGCAATCGCACGCTCCAGCTCCTCAATCTTCTTCTCGACATTACTGATCTCCTGCTTTCCGCACCCAACCGGAGCAACTGTTCGCGTCATCAGCTGACGAGTCACCTTCTCCAGTTCACTGATATCCATCGGTTGCGCTGCGTTCACCAGTTCCAACTGTTGGGAGACGGTGGCAGGCACACTCTCGATAAACTGTGACGTCAACTACTGTGCTTCCGACTCCTCATCCAGACTCGGCAGCGCACGGCGTAACAATCTGGTAAGCTCCACAGCCAGCACCAGTGGGTCACCATCGACCGGCAACCTCGCCAACCAGAACTTCTGCAGCGCGTCCTCTCTGTCCACTGGGCTGTCGAACTCCGCCGCCAACCGCTCCGCGACTATCTCCCATGTCGTCTTCCCGCCAGCGCCGTCCAAGCCGTCATACACAACCTTCGCCCTGCCTCCCAGCAGCGTCCCCAGCACCACCAACTCCGCCTTCAGCTCCTTCACTCCCACCAGCTCCGCCACGGCCTCAAACTCCTTCAGGAAGCCCAGCACATCTCCGTCCTCAAACTCCTTAGGCCATGGAATCTCCATCCTTAGTGGAGGCAGCGACACCAAATGTAGTGAAGGAGAACACGGGTGAGAACAACCAAATTGTATTTAAGACAAATTACAGAATTACTTGGTAAAATAGAAAAACCATATATTAAATCGTTAATTTGCAAAATATCATTCTATCATATGAAACCGGACTGTTGCTGTTGCGAACATCAATCCATTGTCTCACATTTCATTGTTCATGCGATTTCTTACAAATTCCGTTGCGTTCTTGTTCTTCCTTTCTTGATCTTCTCCATCTTCTGCTGCCAGATCTTACGTTCTTTTACCTCACGTTATATACTACTTATATCAATATAAGTAGCACGCACCACATCCAGTACCCAGTAGTTAGTAAGATTATCTAGCTGAACCCAACTCGTGATCAGAATAACCTTTAACTAAGAACCGTTTAGTGGTGAGAAATTGAGTAACTGTTATGAATATTTAATCAATACTTGTCAATAAAGTTATCTGACTGATTCAACTGATTAAAAAAACAAAGAGCTACACGAGCATACAAAGTAGTTGAAGTTGAGAGTATTGATAATGAAATCCCTAATCAGTAAACTTAATAAATAATTTTTCCCCTCGAAATTCGAAGCTATTAGGTTTGTTCTCCTATCGAGTGTTTCGTGCCCACTTCTGCGGAGTTACAAACTTAAGTGAAACACCCTCCAAATATCTATTGGTTTTTCAGGTGATGTCATTATATGATGAAAGCAAACCAACTTCAACTAGTAGTCCCTCAAAAAGATTGAGGGACATTTTAATACCTGCAAGTAATAGACGGTTCGTTAGATCTGATTGAAAAGTCAATAATTCCTATCTCGAAACATTAGGTGAGAAACAGAAATAAGTGTTTAATAACGATACCAAATGATTAAACTGAATAAATAATTTTAACAAATTCAAGAAACTTAAATACTATAGATCACTTCTCGAACTCAACAATAATGTTAGCTTTAGCAGATACAAAGATTTCGTTAACTGACAGATTGATCAGTCATGATCAACGTCAGGCAACATCGTAGATCAAGGTAGACAGTACTTAGACATACGTTACGTAGCCACCTCAGTCAATAAAGATTTGTCCACAGCTTCATTAACCGATTTGTCATCATTACTTATTACCTTATGTTTAACCTCAACACTCCCTAGTTTGTCATCAAATTATATACGAGCATCGTTTCCAAGACAGTTATGATAAAAAACCTGTGGTTCGCACATTTTTTTCTACTTCCAAAAATCATGTTTCGAAGCCATAGGTTAGTAAAGAGTGAATCTCTGTGCAGTGCATTCAGGTTGACTGTTCTCTAACTCCATTTGACCGCCACCAACAACAATAAAATAAATCCGGTAAATTAGTACAAAACACATAATTTCACAGACTTGATTAGGTTGATGCAAGTTGCCAGATAGCAATAGTAATAACTACAATTTTATTCTATCTGTAAGAATATGATTTCCAGGTAGTATCAAAATGAGCAATTTGGACAAATTTGATTGGAAAACTATTGATGTAATTGAGGGCATTAAAGTTCAAAGGAAATGTTTTACAGTATGAAATCAGTGGCTGTCTAAACTCCATAGCAAAAACAAATTTAAAGGTTGTGAATTTGTCATAAATAAAGTAACAGATATATAGAAATACTAAGTAAATGGGCTGAATGAATCATTAAATATGTTTTTGTATGGAGAGTAGTATATATTTAGCGTAAAAGATAGATGAAAGAGGCTGAGCACCTTCAGTTTGTTTATTCACATCTTCACTCAGAGCCCTTGTTGGCGTTTGTGACAGTGAAGAGTTGCAAGATAATGTAGGTGTACTCAATTTCTTTAAGAAAAACGGGTTTTACAACTCAGTAGCAACACTAATTATTGAGTGCATTCAGAATGCTTCCATATATTTAGATACTGAATAGGTTCTCAGACTGCAGTTAAACTTGAGAGGGGATACTAGCTTGTAGGATGCAAAATTACCACGTTTGCGGGAGGTCAAAGTACTGGAGGGTAAGATCAGCAATGTAATACTATTTGATTTCAATTCAGTTACGTTTACGTAAAAAATCGAAAAACCAATCTTAGATAACAGGTGGCCAAGAGATTGTGCAAATAAGTATCATGTAGGCGTCCAGTGACTACGCAGGCTAATACTTTAGTATTATGATACTCAGACTAATTTCTCTATGATCATCACAAGGTAATTTCGATTCTTTCTTACCGGTTGGGTGATAAGTGATTGAGACTAGTTAGATGAGATTACTTTCAATTCCAAAACTCATCAGTATCTCAATCGCCTTCATTGTTGAAACTAGACTATCGCCCCTAAAGAATTCCGAGGTCAACTTATCTAATATTTCCCCTCTCCTTCAGTTCAAATTAAATATAGACTCTGCAATCAACGTGCCTGCCAAGGTAGGAACTAATAACAAAGGTTTCCGAACCAGTATATATCGAGTACGTTTTCATAACAGTTATATTCGACTTCCATGTCATGGTAGCAGCTACAGCTAACATGAACCTTCTCCTTCGTGTTAGCGACCCATCTATTAATGCACATTTATAGCTTTTCTATATGCAGTATTTCAACTCGTTTTTTAAAAATTTCGTTATGGTTTTTTAAAATAACCAAAATTTTTTAAAAAGTTTGTCTGCGTTTTTCAAAATAACCACAACGTTCTTTAAAATTCTTATAGCATTTGCAATGGTCTGATAATTCATGCCCACAAGAAATGCAGCATCTTTGACACTTCATTCGTCGTCAATAACTTTTTTTATGAGGCATTGTCTCTTCTCATTTGAAATTAGATTGTTTTTTCTATTCATCTCTGGCATGTAAGGATTATGAGAAAACTTTAAAAAACGATGTGGCTATTTCAAAAAGTGCGGACAAAATTTTAAAAACATTCTTGGTTATTTTAAAAAACCCTGTTGAAATTTAAAAAAAACGAGTTAAAATACTATATATCCGTCTTCAAAATTGATAAACAGTATTGGTTAAAAATATCGGACGTGGAAAATGACAGAGTACTGGATTTACATACTGTTTGACAAACGTCCTCTGTAATAGAGTTTATGGTTGTTGATTAATTTATCTGATTGATTCATATAATCAAGTTTGATATTCTTACTCAGTTCATTTGTTAGTTTGCATTTTCCACTAATTTGTTTTTTCGTCAATATTTGTTTACAACATCCACAGATAGTTGTCCCTCCAGGATATAAAACACGTGCTGAGTTAATTATTACGGAGGATGAATACTACGGTAAATTTCAAGTTGAGACAATATTTGAAGGTTCGATCTCTGTGAAGCTACGTGATAAAAAGGATGGATCTGTCGTATCTGTTGTAGTTATAAATGATTTAAGTAAATTTCTAACTGCTAAAAATGGATTTCATCCAATACCCAATTCAACTAGTGCTGTTTGTTTCGTTAATGAGGGCTTTTGTCATTGTCATTATGGTATTGGTCAACGTGTGGAATTGCAGGAGGAGAAAATTTAAATGAACTGGGAACTACTATTAATTATTATGAGTAATATTTAAAAAAATCATTTCTTTTTAAATATATGCACCTTTACACATTTTTCCTTAGCATTTCTCCCTTTAGCGATTATGACAAAATTAGGATTTATTTCTGAATTGTGCTAAACTTTATTCTATTAAACAATAGTGTGTTGCAAAATTTTGACAATATCTCTAGGAAATAATTCGTGGAATATGATGAGGTTATACTCATACTCTCTTAAATGAGGGTATTTGCAGGGTAACCGTCAGAAAATTCTAGAAGCAGGTGATTCTATAAGTCTGTCAGACACCAGAAAATAAAGCTATTTTCCAAAATGATAGAACTACCTAATGAGTTGAGGAAAGTGATATAGTGGGCCAATCAAAAATCACCAAACGAGGTCATTCGACGACAATCGGAAATGGCCTGAAGGACAAATGCATATCGTTGACAAAGAAATGGGTTGATTTTCTAAGAGGTAAATATATTTAAACACGTATTCGTGCATACTGTTTGGTAGCTCAATAAACGTTTTCGTCTACTATTGTGTTCTCGCTCAAGTAATCAGGGGGGGGTAGTGTGTAACACATCGTGTATTAATATCATACTTCGGACACCGTCTATCATAAAATAAACCTGCTATAGAATAACAGAGCAATTGAAACTTTAAACAGAATGGAGGAATACGCTGAACTGACAGACTGATGTGACAAGATAAAATGGTAACATTACTGTGGGTCAACATTTTCCGTATAAGTTTATCAAAAAATTTGTTCAACATAACCGGTTCAGTGTGACATTTATATTCCCAGTGACAGTTCACATGAACTATGTTCAGAACGTTCTTCAATAACTGTCTTTTTCATTTTATGATATTATTAAGTGTGCATAAAAATCAGCATATAAATGAGTGCATTTTGTTTTAATGAGAACGTTTCTAGACAACTTGTTTTAAAGTGGTTTTCGTATAGAAAATGGTTTTACTATACAAAAAATTCTTAATTGTTGCTAAACGGGAGATTTTATATTTCTTGAATAGTATTGACCGCGTCAGTATCACTAATCCTTGTTGTCCAATATACCTAAAAATCTGAAGATGTTCATCCTCAAGCATTCTTTTACCATCATATCTGGAAATTCTCTCCGGTACAAATGATCCAGTTTCCGGTGTTTATAGGTGGCCCTTCATGAACATGTTACCGATGAATATATATCTATATCTCAATGAGAAGAAAATTATATTTCTGAGGTATCGGTTTACGTTACATCACGAAATGTCAGAAATATAATTTTCTACTCATTGGCATATTGCCAAAATATGTTTATAATTAACATTTTATCACATGCTGAATTCATTTGAAACTTTCAAGCCTAACATTGACGACGAAAACTTATAGAATATTGCTTATTATCACTATACTTATCAAAGATTCTAGACTTCATCCCTTTGCATTGTGACTCATTCTATTTAGTTCTAACTTAGTCCCTGTGTAGTGTTGTTACATTGCACACAAAAGCTGTTATTTCAGTCATTTTGGTACTAGGATACAGAGAATTTCACCCGGTGGATTGAGTTGCTTAATTACGATTGAGTAGATAACTCCTCATTCAGGTTATCTTCAGGAAATTGCATCAGCGGTAGGACATAAGATGGAGATAAATCCCAGCTAAAATAATAAATATTCAGAATGCAAATAGTTTTAACTACAGTTGTGGACTTTTATTTTTTATAAGTTCACTACCTCGTAAATTAATAAACAACATCCTTCGTTTACAGATGATTATAGCAAAGTGCCTGAAAAATAACAGTTGCCTCCGTTTTTTCAAGCTTGCCAAAAGACGTCCAGAATAACAGGCAGTTGATGGCTGTAGTCAAGATGTATTCATTGGCGATCTCGTGGTATCAAAAGAATACCGAGATCGTGCCAAGTGTGGTTACTGATGTAGCACGTATTCTTAGCGTTTACCTGGAGGCAGGAGCAATCTGAAACACAACACTACAGTCAGGACTGGCAGATGCCACTCAAGTGAGAACACGGCGTGCGAGCACAACAGAGATATATTAGAAATTGAAATACGCGGTTTTTGTACAAAAAGAGAAGTCTGTTACGAAATAGTTTTACTCATCATCCAGCAGGTTTGGTTTGCGCAAGCTTTGTTCTTCTTCTTCTAATACGTTCACTTTCTGTTGTCCTGCAGTAAGGAAAACAAACCTGCATTAATAAAGTTACACGCAATGACTTTCGATACTGTTACACTATACCCTCTCTTCATGAGGCACTGTCCTCAGTGCCTGGTGCTGGACATGGATATGCTACCCCTCCTTCTGGTGGCACTTCATAATGGCTGACGGCAGTCGGGGGGTTGACAGACGCGGTATCTAAGTGCACCGTTGTCTTGTCTGGCTTTCATTGATTGTAGTGTACTGTTATAACATCGTCTTGGGGTCGTTGGAGGTTACGTAAGACGAATGTAGTGGAGGGCCGCATAAACACAACTTCGTAAGGTCCTTGCCAAGGGTAATGGAACTTGCTGCATGTCCCCGGTGGAGCCAAAGGACGGTGCAGCCACACACGATCTCCGGGTTTATACACAGGTCCGTTCGTCTTGCGATCGTACACGTCCTATTGGTGCTTGCTGGCATTTTGAAGGTTGATCTTCACTAAGCGATAGGCGTCGGCTAGGCGGCTGCGAAGATTACGGATGTATACTACATGATCTTGGATCTCGCATGGTAACAGCGGTATTTGCAGCTCAACGGGTAGGCGCAATTCATGCCCAAAAAGTAGGGTCGCCGGTGAAAATCCTGTAGATCCGTGCACTGATGAGCGGTAAGCTAACAGACATTGTGGTATCACGTCATCCCAACCTTCCGTCGACGACTTATTGATAAACGATTGAAGGAGAGCTTTGATAGTCCTGTTGGTTCTTTCCACTAAGCCGTTACCTTCTGGATGATATGCGGTAGTGTGTGTTTTCTGGATTCCCAATAATCGACATACCTGGGCGACGAGATGACTTTCAAAAGCTGAACCTTGGTCAGAATGGAGTGAGAGGGGAGCGCCGTACCGGGATACCCAATGATTAATGAAAGCCCGAGCGACTGTGAGGGCATCTTGTTGTGGTATAGGCACAGCTTCACACCATTTGCTGAAATAGTCTACCATAATCAGTAAACAACGGTTTCCGTTCTTTGACGTTGTGAGTGGCCCCATAATATCGATGCCAACTCTCTGATGCGGACCTTCTGTCGTCATTGGAACTAAGGGTGCGCGGGGTATTTGTCGGGGTGACTTGATAGCATAGCACGTGCTACAATTTTTGCAGAATTCTGCTAAGTCTTCGTGGATGGATGGCCACCAAAACCTTCCGCAGATAGCATGTTCAGTCTTCCGTGTTCCTGAGTGCCCCAGTTCTCGGTGTACCTGCTCCATAATATTCTGAACTTGTATACGTGGTACTATCAATAGTGGTTGTTTTGATTCACTGACTATAAATAGCGTGTCTTCATACAATCTTAGACCGCCCCACTTGGCACAAAGACGGCGCGTCGCCAAGGAATGATCCTTTAACTCTGTCATAGATGGTTTATTATTGCCATGTAGTTGCCTCTGATAAATAAATCGCAGATCTGGGTCTTCTGCTTGAAGAGACGGCCAGTCGATCTCGGGGGCTGTGCTAAGGACGGCACTAATGGTATCAGGAGAATAAGGTATACGAGATAGAGAATCAGCGTTTGTGTGTCGGCTTCCGGGTCGGTATTCACAGGTAAAATCAAACTCCTGCAACCTCTCCTGCCAGCGCGCTACCTGACCTTCTGGTTCACGGAACGAACGAAGTCACTGTAGTGCACGGTGGTCTGTGCGTACACGACAGGGTCGTCCTAAGAGATAGTGACGAAAATGTTGCGAAAATTTTACCAAAGCCAGCATCTCTCGGCGCGTCGTAGAATACCTTGTCTCCCTCTTATCTAACCGCCGACTAGCGTAAGCAATGACCCGCTCCTGTCCATCTAGTGCTATTTGAGACAGGACTGCTCCAATAGCTGATGAACTAGCATCTGTATCGAGTATAAACTCACCCGCTTTAGCAGAAGTGTCCGGAAAAGCTAGTATGGGTGGAGCAGCAAGACACGACTTCAAAGTGCTAAATGCTTGTTGACACTCTGTGGTCCACAAAAATGTTTGTCCTTTGTGCGTCAGGCGATGCAGAGGTGCTGCCAGGGATGCGAAATCCCGTACGAAACGTCTATAATAAGAGGCGAGTCCCAGGAAGCTGTGAACATCCTCGGCAGATTTCGGTTGTGGCCAGTTAATAATGGCGCTCGTTTTTCCTGATCTGTTGCTACTCCATCTTCTGTAATGCGATGCCCTAGAAAGAGCACTTCTTTTTGCAATAGTCGACATTTAGATGGTTTAACTTTTAGGTTATGCTGCTTAATTCGTTGTAGGACTGCCTTCAAATTGGCATTATGCTGTTCCGGCGTTCTGCCATACACAATAATATCGTCAAGGTAAATTAAACACTGGTGTGGTACGAGACCATGTAGAACTGTCTGCATTAATCGTTGGAAAGTGGCTGGGGCATTAGTTAACCCAAACGGCATCACCTGAAACTCATATAGACCATTGGGTACTGTGAATGCAGTCTTTTTTCTATCTTGAGGTCGGACTTCCACTTGCCAATACCCTGATGCTAAGTCTAAAGTCGAGAACCAACGATCGCCTTTCATGGCATCTAATGTAGCGTCTATACGTGGAAGTGGGAAAGAATCACGTTTAGTTATAGCGTTAAGGCGGCGGTAGTCTATACATAGTCGTAGGGAAGAGTCTTTCTTTTTCACTAAAACAATAGGCGATGCCCATGGTGATGAAGATGGTACAATGATCTTTTTCTCCAGCATATCTTTTACCATAGATTCTAATTGAGGCTGGTAATGTACTGGTACTCGGCGAGGTGGTTGACGTAATGGCATGTGATCACCTGTGAGGATGGAGTGCTGTACAGTGGTCGTCCGATTTCCAGAGATATTCTCAGAGAAAACGGAACTAAATTGTTGAAGTACATCAGTGGTTGCTCGAC